CCAACCGCAAGATATCCGCTCCAACAGAGAAGCAAGATATATAACAAAACGACCTACCGACTACCGACCGATACCGCGGTCGAAGACCAGACCGAAAATATACCGACTACCGACCGATACCGCGGTCGACAACCAGACCGAAGATATACCGAACTACCGACCGATACCGCGGCCGACGACCAGACCGAAGACATTCCGTCATACATACCGGAATTCACGAACAGTCCGAAACGAGAGCAGCTCGACATCAGTACTACACTAAACAATACCGAAAAAAAACAATTACAGCAATTGTTACTAACCGAATTGGAGAAATTTAAACACATCTAACCGAACATACAATAAAACTTAAACATAATACACCGATCAAACAAAGATACAGGCCCCGAAACCCGGCAATGCAGAAGATCATAAACGATGAGATAGATAAGATGCTAGAAGAGAACGTGATAGAAAAATCTAATAGCCCGTACAGTTCCCCCATCGTCCTAGTAAAAAAGAAGGATAACAACGGATACAGATTTTGCATCGATTTTAGGAAAATCAACGACATCTCAGAAAAAGATGCCTACCCATTACCGTACATCAATCATATCCTAGAAAAGTTAAAATCTGCAAAATATTTTACCACGTTGGATCTAAAAAATGGATATTGGCAAGTACCACTTTCCGAAGCAAGCAAACCCTTAACCGCTTTCATAGCACCAGGAAAAGGACTATTCCAGTTCAAAGTACTTCCATTCGGATTACACGCCGCCTCCGCTACTTTTCAACGATTACTAGATACAATAATCGGCCCAGAAATGGAACAACATGCGTTCGCCTATTTAGACGACATAATAGTACTGGGGAAAACGTTCGAGGAACATATGGAAAACTTAAAAGAAGTACTTCACAGACTACAGCAGGCCAAACTACGAATTAATATAGACAAATGTAAATTCTGCAAAGAAGAGATAAATTATTTAGGCCATGTAGTAAACAAAACGGGAATAAAAGTGGACGAAAACAAGACAAAAGCTATAGTCGAATATCCCGCGCCAAAAACCGTTAAACAACTACGCCGATTTTTGGGCATCATCTCATGGTATAGGAGATTTATAAAAGATTTTTCACGAACTACAGCTCCTTTAACAAAGCTACTAAAGAAAAAACAACATTGGACTTGGGACAGAGACCAAGAGGAAGCATTCAACAAAATAAAATTACTACTGACACAAGCTCCAATACTGATCTGCCCGGACTTCCAGAAAAGATTTTTTTTACAATCGGACGCTTCGAACCACGGTTTAGGAGTAGCTTTAGTACAAACAAACGACGAAGGACAGGAACAAGTCATCGCTTACGCAAGTCGAAACCTAACAAAAGCCGAAAAAAATTACAGCGTGACAGAAAAAGAACTACTAGCGATCATCTTCGGTGTAGAAAAGATGAAACCCTACATCGAAGGATACCCATTTTCAATTATCACAGATCATCAAAGTCTACGATACTTACAAACAATGGAAAACCCTACAGGTAGAATAGCTAGATGGGCAATGCTGCTGCAACAATTTGACTTCGATGTCATTTACAGAAAGGGCTCCCAGAACGTCCTGGCCGACGCGCTCTCTAGAGAACCAGTAGATCTGGTTTGCATAATAAACGTAGAAGATGTAGAACCCGACGAATGGTACAATAAAGCTTTAAATAAAATCCAGACAAATCCGCAACTATTTCCAGACTACTCTATCAAAGATGGACTTCTCTATCGACACTTCTGGGACAAATACGATTTAAAAGAGACAGAGGTATCCAACCCCTGGAAACTATGCATCCCAAACCACAAGAGACAACAACTCCTGGCAGAAAACCACGAGCAACCGACCGCAGGACATCTAGGAATAGCTAAAACAATAACCCGCCTAGCTAGAAAATACTACTGGCCAGGGATGTTTAAAGACGCCGCAAAGTTCGTCAGGAACTGCAAGAATTGTCAGCAATTTAAGCCGCAACAAAGCTTAACTCCAGGCCGCATGCAATCTACACAAATTCCCCCACATCCATGGCACACCGTTTCAACCGACATCATAGGACCCCTTCCAACATCCAGCAAAGGAAACAAATATATAATGACATTCCAGGACACCTTTTCAAAATGGGTCGAAGCCATACCGATCAGAACAGCAACGGCAAAATCAGTCTGTCAGAACTTAAAAGATAAAATTATTATGAGATTCGGATCACCCAAAGAGCTAATATCAGACAACGCAAGAACATACGATAACAGGGAAGTACGAAAGTTGCTAGACGAATTCCAGATTTCTAAAAGAAACATTCCGCCATATTCACCCCAGAATAATCCAGTAGAAAGAACAAACAGAGTAATCAAAACAATGATAGCTCAGTTCTGCGATAATAACCATAAGAAATGGGACACGAGCCTTCCAGAACTACTATTCGCCTATAATACAGCTAAACACGATTCAACGGGTTTCTCCCCAGCCTTCCTGAACTTTGGACACGAACTAGAAATTCCAAGTAAAGTCGTAAAAACCCCAAACGACACACAACATACCGATCAAAACATAAAATGGCATAAACTACAAGAAACATTCGAACTAGTACGTACAAACCTGGCAAAAGCTTTTACAACTCAAAGCCATTACTACAACTTACGACGAAGAGAGTGGAAACCGACAATAAACGACAAAGTCATGAAAAGGGAATACCAACTCTCAAATGCCGCCAAAAATTTTAACGCCAAATTAGCACCGAAATTTTCAGGCCCATATACTATAACAAAAGTGTGTTCTAATGTAATATTCGAACTAAAACACGACGATAAAAACCGTACAATAACAGCTCATATCAAAGACCTAAAACCCGCATTTACCGATTTCCCTACTCCTTAATCAGTCCAAGCACTTACAGTCAACACCAAGTAGTGACAGTATATTTTAATACAGTTTACCAGTAATGTCAGATACGTTAGAAATATATTACAGTGACATAGAAATGGACGGCACAGTTACGCCGCCACCATACACCGTTCCAGAGTTAATATCACCATTGGGGAACACACCAAAACCTAACACCCCGGGCAAAGGCTGCGAGCCCCTGATAAAGGCTATTTCCAAATTCAAAAACCTTTTCGATGAACCAACCATGGGCATCACAAAAATTCAGAAAGTCCAGTCAATTCCAGTGTCAATCCCGCTGATCTCACTAATTCCGCCGCAGCATAAAGGAAAAAAATACAGACTGAGACTCCCGAACCAAGTGCTGAGGATAAAAACCAATAATTGAAGCCCCACGAAGGAAGACGTTTTTTTTTAAGAGAGAGGAAGACGATTTTTTTTTAAGAACACAATATTTATTTTTTTTAGGGCGGACATTTTTTATTTCGATGTATTGTCAATTGTTTTTTAGGGTAACCAAGTACCTGGCAAGGAATAAAAATAAAAAAAATTTGTTCCAAAATTTTTTTTTCCCAGGAAGAGGGGGTGTAACGATGAGTCCAAGCCGTCACCGTTAAACCAGCGTGCGCGCGAACCAACCCATGAAGTAGGAGTGTATCGACAGTAGAAAGGGCAAAACTTTGCTATATAAACCGCATTATTTCCTCATAGAGGCAGAATCGTCAGGTGTTGACTGAAGGTTCTCTTCTCCCCTACCCCGGCTTGTGGACGTGTTGAGTTCACAAGTTGTTTCCGTTCCATACCGCCGTTATCCGGAGAGCGTGTTGAGCTCTCCACTACCCGTACTCCGAAGCAGTCGTGTTGAGGCTGTCGAGGAGTGTCCTATTAACCCGAATCACTTGAGGGACGTGTTGAGTTTCTTTCTTTCCTTTGTACCTATCGTCCGCTGTTATTAAATCGACACATCGTTCACGTAAAATTCCGAGAACACACTTGATTGCCGATAACACTAATTTCATACGACAAGGTCAAACTTAATTTGAATAAATAGGCCAGGTACTGAGAAGACTAAACTAAATTGTAAATATGTACATAAGATTTTTGTCAATTTAATTTAAGGAAGACAATAAAGTTTTATTTTTATTTTGAACTCTGTCTCTGACTGTCCAAAAGCTACCCGGATAGTGACTCCTACGAGAGGACGTCACAAGCTTCTTTTTTATCTGCCCTACAGGACCAAACTCGCGAAACTGCTTCTCTATTTTACTTATTGTTCTTTGGGATATAGGCGGTAAATTAGGAAATTTCTCATGAAATAGGCGAGTTACTTCCTGTTGTGTTCGGGTGTTATCTCCGTAACCAATCATTTGTAAAACTGTTATTTTATGCATTTCCGTTAATCTAACCAGTTTTCAGAATTGAATTGAACGAACTTTTTACTTAACTTAAAATACTGACAACTTAAATAAAACAATTTACTAATGCGTTTTAAAATAACGTTGCCACGGAAATTCTTTAAAGTTTTTTAATGGTTACCATCTAAAAACCACATTGCTATGGTTTTTGTTCACTTTCTCATTATCAAGACCTAAACGGGAAATAAGTTTTGAGTATATTTTAGCGACTTTCGGTAAATAAACTTGAAAGCGACAACATTTTTGAATGGAGAATGAAAAGACCTTTCAAACGATATAACACAAGCCTATACTTCCTATTTTAAAAATTGGGGGTTGTACCTGTCATTTTAAGGGGGTTGAAGGTAGGGGTTGCATTTTCACGTTAAAGAATGTCAAGTTATAATTTAAATTTGACGCGTTTCGGGATTTTTTATAAATATGTACAGTAATCTAAATAATGAATTTATTCCATTTGGCTTTTACACACTGTATAAAACTTGGGCTCTTTGTTGTCTTCCGAAATCTTCTGAACTATAGATGTAACGAATAGAAATTTAATTGTAGACGCAAAAAAAGAATCTAGTGAGATTTTTAGTAACTTTTTGGCTGTAAATCAAGCTCTTAAAAATGTCTTAATTGGTTTTTAAATATGGTTTTGAGAGTGATATATGATCCATTAAATTAATTCAAAATATTTTTATAGGTAAAGAGGATAGCACCGGAATTCTACGACAACCTACCGCAGCACCACAGCTGGACGGCAGTTTTATATGACTTCGTGATGGATCCAGATGTGGGACCTTACGCCAGAATCAGGCGGAAAGCGAAAGGCTTATCATCGTAATTTCCATCGAGACACCAAATTACCTAGTACATTTTATTGCTCGCTTCTTATTTTCATTGTTTACGACAAAATGAGACGAGAGCAGTAAAATCTTTTGCTTATGTGTGGTTTAAAGTAGCATTTAGTTGACTGTACATAACCAGTGACGTACGTTTTTTTTTAAATATATCTTATTTATAATATAATACTTATTTAAAAAATATTCTTTCTTCAACATTGTGATATATGTACAGTAATTATATTTCGCCTGTAAAGATTGTAATTTCTAAAAAAGGTTAAAAAATAACCTCAGAATTCTTGTTTATTTGTCTATTCTTTTGCGTTCCCACACACAGCCAATGTTGTAACTTCACAATCGTTTGTTGTCAACCTGAGTTTTTATTATAAGGTTTTCTGAAGGTTATTCACATGTGCCTTGAAGTTTTTACCCACTTTTACATAGTAGATTGTGTATTTTAATAAAGTATTTACCTTCTAAAACATAAAATAAACAATTTTTTACCAAGTCAGACTTAAGGCTGATTTATAAACTTTACGTTGGCGTTGGCGCTGGCGTTCGCCGTTGACCTTGGCGCTGGCTATCATATATTGCATTTATAAACTTTCGGTTGGCGTTGGCGTTAAAGATCACATCTAAATTTCTAACCTTACATGTTTCATTTGGTATTATTAATTTTTGCTTGAAAATTAATACGAAGGAAAATAAAAATGCTCGGCCTTTGTTAGGTGCAGTGGCAGTGATACTTTGTATTCGAACAGTACTGATGGCCTTTGAAATAAAAGACAACGTCAAGAGACAAGAGGTAATTTTAATTATTATACAAATATGAAAAACTGGGATACTCGGCAGTTTTTTAAATATACCAAGATGCAGGTTTCAGTATTTGAAAAATTACTGCAAATGGTATAACCAAAATAAAATTTAAACTATCGCTCTGATAGAATTTCTGTTGAAGAGAGGCTTGTTAATATCTAAACTCTTCCATTTTATAAACACGTGAAACTCAAAGATAAACAAATAATTTAGTTTGATTTGTTTGACAAACCTTATCACTTTTTCCGTATTGCTATTGGCTGCGATGACCAATAGATACAGTTTTTTTATGTTTTGTGATCATGACTACAACCACAGCAGGGTTTGAGTATTCTGTGCTACAACGGCCAACGGCAAAAGATAAAGTTGGTTCATCTTGAACGGAACCGAACGCCAGCGCCAACGCCAACGTAAAGTTTATAAATCAGCCTTTAACGTTAAACATTTTGAAATTAGTCAACCTAAACAGTGACGAGTGACGTTATCTCTACATCAATCAAATCAAATAGGAATAATTGTGATGTGAGTGATGTAATACCAAGACCATATACTGAGCATGTGAGCAACGAGCAGTGACGACATCTTTTGCGGTTGTTTGATCTGTGTCTTTCTAGCGCATTTGAAAGTCCCCTCTCGATCTTTGTCGAATAAAAAGAGACACTACTATACTTACTTGATGTAAGATAAAGACACAACTAACAATGAAACAAAGATGGTGTCGTCAATTAGCTCTACAGACAGACTATATATTTCTATGACCAAGATCTGACGAGTCTCCGCATGCGCTGCCACAATTGAAATATGACATGTGACGTTCAAAGACGTAAACTTTGCAGTTAGTATAAGGGCGAGCGCCCACCAAAGTGGCGTGGCAGTGGCAAGTAGCAAGTAGCACGCGTCTAGCATAATGTAACCAATCCTAACGAATGATTAGAATGAATGACGTTACTGTCATTTTGGTGTAAACTGAATCACTCGTTTTGATTGGTTACATTATGCTAGACGCGTGCTACTTGCTACTTGCCACTGCCACGCCACTTTGGTGGGCGCTCGCCCTAAGACGTACAGAGTAACTCAGCATAGGTTTGTATAAAAATACTCTAAAATATAAAAGATCTGACACTTATATTATTTATTGTGATTTAAAGAAAACCTTTCAGGTAATTTTTTGCGTATTGGTATTTTATGCACTGAAATTTTTGAACAAATACCTGAAAAAGCGTTAGTAGATTATATAATACTCTAAACTGAAGACTATTCAACAATAACTGTCGATAATAGTAACAAAACGTTCATTTTCAGTCGCTCGTTTTTGTTGTTGTGACAAAGTCCTTTTCAACATAAAATCTGAAATAAATTTTCTATTGTCGGTAGCGACATTCATAATACATGTAAAACTTTTTTTTACATTCGTTTTTAGGCGACAACTTTTTGCAAAAATTAGTTAAGTTGTAGCATACTCCTCGTGCCATTTTTTGGCGCTTTTTTGAAATTTGCTATTGGCAGCCAAGAAAAATGGCGCCTAAAGAGTTCTGCGTGAACATTACCTAATAAACGCAAGTAAACATAAACCTGTCTAGAGGTACGACTAACCTCGCGTGTGTGTGTGTGAGAGAGAGAGAGAGAGAGATAGATGGCATTAGACAAAAAATCTTTTTGCCACAGAAAACACCTCGTACTTATCTACCATTATTTTACGATCTTTTGACCAATGAAGTTTGTAGAAAGATGATCATACATTTTGCGCGCTTTTTCTTGGATGTGACTATACCATAGTACAATTTTTTGACACTTCATTATTGATGTCCAGTCCTCAACTAGCACCACAATTTAATAATAAAAAATTTACATAAATAATTTGTTTTAATCGTTTTCAACTAAAAGCTACTTTATACCGAAAAATGCTGTGAAATTATATGTATATTATTTATTGTGATTTAAAAGCATGTTATTATCAGTTAGGTAATTTTTGTGAATGTATTGAATGTCAAATAAAATTGAGCACTTATTGTTTTGAAAAACTTAAAATGCTTACCTGGATATTCGAATATTTAAAATGTAATTTTTTCAGTTAAATTGATACATTGTTTCAAAAACATATATTTTTTCAAGGAAAGGAAAAATAAATAGCGGGTAACAATCAGCTGTCTTTTCTTTTAGTGGTAGGTAAATGACATACAATGATAACAGATGGACACGGAGAATCTAAGGGTGAACAGACCAAAGGGCGTCCTCAAAAGAGACGGGTATACAACATACGAGCATTGGCGGACAAACAGTGATTCAGATTGTAACCGGATAGAGAAAGATGGAAGCATGTAAGGTCGATTCAGACACATCAGTCACGTCTCGTCACAGTCCTGGCGCCGAACCGAACAATCCGTCATACAAAATATTCTTTAGTAGAAATATGCCGCCGGCATTCACATTCATCAGTTGACGAACAGTTTGCCAGCTGTCAGATAGTTGATAGTTCTGTGACCAAACAGGACCGGTTCGGCGCCGAGACTGTGACGTGACTGATGTGTCTGAATCGACCTTTAGGAGACGTTTACATCCAGGAGTGGATAAGTAAAGGTTGACCAGTTTATTATGATGAAGTTTTCTCAAAATATTTTTAGAAAATAGTTTAGAATAGGGGAGCCATCCCAACAGTGAGACAGTTTTTTTTTATTTTAGTGTAATTTTGTTTTTATCCATCCAAAATGAAAGAAATAAACGCCAGCGTAGGCGTTGACATTTATATTAATCTCTCTTCAAGTGAAATATTTTCAACATTGAAGTTTGATATTTTTTTTGCCAGAATATAGATAGATGCATTTGTGACAACTTAGGCCATATGCCTTAGGGCGAGCGCCCACCAAAGTGGCGTGGCAGTGGCAAGTAGCACGCGTCTAGCATAATGTAACCAATCCTAACGAATGATTAGAATGAATGACTTTACTATCATTTTGGTGTAAACTGAATCATTCGTTTTCATTGGTTACATTATGCTAGACGCGTGCTACTTGCTACTTGCCACTGCCACGCCACTTTGGTGGGCGCTCTCCCTTACAGTGACACTTTAAATCCAACAGTGAAACCGTAAAAATAAATGAAAATATATAATCTAGCATGTCAAAAAATCTTATTTGGGCTGTTGTGTTTTGAAAAAGTTTATTGAGGATATTATTGAGATTAATATATCATTCTCATAACATAATTTTGATACTGATTGTTGTGAACATATATAAATCATATTTATTGAACATAAAAGACACTTCCAAAATAAAGAAAAAAAGATACAGAACGTAAACAACTGAATAAATATAAAAATATAATATCTAGGTATGTATCTACCTAATGTCCATTAATCCAAAATATATCTCAAACGTAAAAGAAACCATCTTTCGGCTAGTGTGCCCACAAGGAATTGGGCATGATGAGTTTGATATCTTTTAAAGTAACAATAGCTTCATCTGGAATATTGGGAAATACAAATTTGCTAGTGCCCTTCATTCCTTTTTTTTCAAATTGGTTTCAATTAAATGTTTTATTAAAATCATTAATATAATTTCTCTAACTAGGTTTTTTTTCATATTTTTTGACAATGAAACACTGGGTTTTTACAAGTTACAAGTGGGTCTTTAGTACACCTGATTTAGCATTAAACTGTGACACCATTATATCAAGTATAGAAGGCTGCCGAGTTGATTTATTATACATATTATAGGTCATTGTCTGTACCATTAGCCTTTCATTTTCTCTTGGGGTAAAATTTTGTTCAGTGGTATAATTCCTATTTCTAAAATACGCCCTATCAATTCTATTTATTGTAGATTTGATCATTGTTTTAGAGTATGGTTTGATGTCAAGAAACTGTTGATTTTGAAGTGTATTGTGTATTCTTCTTATGGCTCGCCACAATGTATACCATAAAATAAATAGTAAGTGGTATAGAACAGGTGGGTAGACTGAATTGCATTGGCCCAGCCGTTCGTAATGACGCTGGCGCTACTAGTCACGTTAGGTATCTTAGACCAAGCTTAGTGAAAGGGAGGTTGCATCGTAACTCTAACATTGACAGAATAAAATATTATGTGTGACGTCACCCAGGGGTCAATTTTACGAATTGTTTTTAAAGAAAATAGGAGAAGTGGTTTGGAGAATATATTTTGTTGTTAAATATCCTTAGTGCTTTAGTTTATGTTAATATCTTGAGATATAATATGTCTATAGATATTATTGAGTGATTTTTAGTATACAACTTGGACCCAAAACTCTTATACCAGTGTTAAGATACATTTAACGTGATTGTGTCTTACTGGATTTTATTTCTGCTGTATTATATAGTAAAGGTAACATTGGGATTAATGCAGGAAAAACATAACTTAATTCAATTTTTTTTATTGATTCAGATGACTAGTGGAAATATTTGTAGTGTAGCAATCTGCAAAAATAATTAAAAAAATTCCAAAAAGGATGGAAGGAATTTAATGTTTTTTACATTTCCATAAAATGTAAAAATTCAAAAGCAATAGATGAACAAGTGTCATAAGAAGGAAGAACAAGTGGTCCTGTTTTAATAAAGGAGTTTGTAATGTATACTTTCGCATAGAAGATTATAAAGATGCTTTAAAACTAAACTATAAACATACAACCTAAAAAACTGAAAAAAGATGGTAAGTAGGTATAGTATAGTATAGTCATTTAAATGTTCAGTAAAAATGTGTTAATTCATTGAACTTAAAAGGTATCTATTTAATGAAATCATGTTTTAATATTTTTTATTTTCTATTATATAATGCAGTAATGTAATCAGATGTTCCTTATAGTGAAGTTAAGGGAAAAACTACTAATTCTGATATATAAATCTTTAGTTGAATCTCTTTTTCAGCATTGCTTACTTGTTTGGAGGAATTTATAATAATCCACTACATGCATTATCCTCAATACAAAATGATTTAAAAAAAAGTAAATTGTATTCAAAACATTATTATTATAGTATATTAACATGTTTTAGTCACATGTATACACAAGAAAGAATCTACTTCCAATTTAATATAGTAATGCTATTCTACTACATATGTTTAGCTGCAATAATATTTTATGATTTCTATTTTTCGAGTTAATTTCAAGGAGTAAAGAGAATGAATTTGAATGTAGCATTCTCAGTGACGTCATTTCCGCCGTTAGATTCTCGACGCTGATTGGTGTAAAGTTACCAGATAACCTGTCTATTTTTAATAACCTTGGTCAAGGCAACCCACGTTTTTAGTTGTGCACCCTTCCGTCTAGTGGCACTGCTAGTCTTGTTCGTGCGTGTGGTTCGTTGTCACCACTGGTGGAAATGTGCTGTGGTTGTCACTTTACGTCAAATAAATAGGATTGTTTTTAAACAATGTAAATACTGTAAAATGACAACAAAAACGTACAAATTTAGACGATTTTTAATTATGGAATCTATCGCCATATATGAAATACCAATGGAAACATGAACTGAACAAAAAAGATGTGTTATATGTGATATACATTTATATAGTTGAATCTCTTTTTCAGCATTGTTTACTTGTTTGGAGGAATTTATAATAATCCACTACATGCATTATCCTCAATACAAAATAATTTAAAAAAAAGTAAATTGTATTCAAAACATTATTATTATAGTATATTAACATATTTTAGTCACATGTATACACAAGAAAGAATCTACTTCCAATTTAATATAGTAATGCTATTCTACTACATATGTTTAGCTCAATGACGTATAATATATAGACTACGCAGTCCCCTATTCTCGCTATAGAATCGAGTGTCCGAAAGATCTCGGCTCAAGGTTGAAGGTATGTTTATCAGAACAGCGACGTGCTCATTTATATGTTAATGATAATAATTATTTTTTTAATTAAAATTAAATATTTATGATTTCTTTTTGTTCCCGTCTATAAGAGAAATAATTATTTTGATAAAATAGTATGGCATTTTACTAAAAGAGTAAGTAAATAACTCTCAACAATTTAAAATAAAATTTGCTTGTCACAAAAAATGGAGAAAATGTTTTCATACGTCCATGATGTATTCAAACACAAGATCAACTTCGTGATGCTTCGTAAGAAATCATGAACTTCGTGCATCTTCGTATCAAAACAATAAACAATAACAAAGGTATTCATGTTTTGGACACTTTTTAAAGCATTCACCGAGTCTATATATTATACGTCATTGGTTTAGCTCATCGAGCAAAAAGATAAAAGAGGGAATCTAATCGTTATGAAAAGTAGACCAAAAAAGTGGCCTCTGATGGCAGGCATATCCGGAAATGCAAAGGCGCTAAATTTAAATTTTTCACTTGTTAACAATAGCTGTAAAATATTTTTCAGACAAGAAACTTTTAATTAAATATTAACGATAATAGTCTAAAAAGTGACACAATTGGTAAAAAACTTCAATATAAATAAAATTTCATGTGACAGTTGGGACAAACAATAACATAACCAAACTAAATTTGACTTATTAAACAAGGAAAGAGACTGTCTATCCTTGTTTAAAGTGGCCTCTCAAGATAGCACTTCCTGTCTAACAATATTTTTGTCCCCACTACCTTTACATTCCCTCTTTTATCTTTTTGCTCGATGGTTTAGCTGCAATAATATTTTATGATTTGAATGTAGCATTCTCAGTGACGTCATTCCCGCCGTTAGATTCTCGACGCTGATTGGTGTAAAGTTACCAGATAACCTGTCTATTTTTAATACCCTTGGTCAAGGCAACACACGTTTTTAGTTGTGCACCCTTCCGTCTGGTGGCACTGCTAGTCTTGTTCGTGTGTGTTATTCTTTGTCACCACTGGTGGAAATGTGCTGTGTGTGGTTGTCACTTTATGTCAAATAAATAGGATTGTTTTTAAACAATGTAAATACTGTAAAATGACAACAAAAACGTACAAATTTAGACGATTTTTAATTATGGAATCTATCGCAATATATGAAATACCATTGGAAACATGAACTGAAGAAAAAAGATGTGTTGTTCCAGATTGCATGGATACTACTTGCAAGAATACGGTTTTACCGCCGTATATAGTTACGCACCCTGACACTAGGCAATACGCCAATCGTTTTACTTCCTAACATGGGCAGAGAACTAGGAACGCAGTCACAGAATAATAAACAATCAGAAGGGCCACTCTCAGATGCCGCCTTTGAAGTTTTTCAGCACGCGCGCCATGTTTTAGGAGGACACAGACATATGATTTGTGTGGTTAGGTAATTGTTTATATTTATGTTTAATTATATTATATTTATGTTATTATATTTAACAATGTTAATATAATTGTATAGTATGTCTATGATTGCTGTAAGTCAAATAAACCTGGTTAATTTTTCCATGCACACCACATAAACAACACTAATTTCTTTAAAATCCTCCTAAAACATGGCGGAACGTCTGCGCGGAGGAGATGCGCGTACTTAATTTTCCGTGGAGAGTGGGTATTCTGTTTGTTTATTATTCTGTGACGCAGTGTTCGACACGGGACTGATACATGGAGCAAAAGCAAAAAGTAAAGTTAGGAAACTGCTCAGTTTTTTTAATTGGTAGGCTAAATCCAATATAAATCTAAAAGTTGGTTATGTTTCTGTTCATACATTTTTTTGTTTTTTAGGTAAATGATTGGTTCGATTGCCTTAACGTTAGGGTACCCTATACAGATTCCCGAGAACAAGTACAAGGCTATGGGTTAAATATAGACGTTCAAAATAAGATTATTGACGAGATATCAGAAGCTATGAAAGCTTTAAAAGTTAAAGGAAAACGTTCATTGTTGCCTTTTCAGAAAGGTATGTTATGTTGCTTTTGAAATATTCTAATTAAAACTATTCTTTGGAGCTAATAATTATTATAAATATTATCGTCTTTTAAGCAAAATTTAACTCCGTTGTTATTTTTAGGAATAATTTAAACTAACAATTCCTTAAAAAATTTATTTGAGGATATAAAAACTAAATTTAATATAAAGTACATCCTTACATACAACTTAAATCAAGATGTACTCGAAAATTTTTTTGGCAATATTAGGAGGGTTGGTGGATTACATGACCATCCCGATGCTGTGGAATTTCGGTACCGGTTAAAAAACCATATTTTAGGGAGAAATGAAGGTTCTTTATCTGAAGCTGGCAATACAGAAGCTGATAAGGTCATTGATGGACCAATTGATAACTTGGGAGAAGTTTTGTTAAGTAAAACATATTTTTTAAATTTATCCTGCGAAGCAGAAAAAGAAGAAGTGGATGCAGACATGGAAGAACTAGACCAACTTCATTATGATGCACTGGAATATGTCAGTGGGTATATATGTAGGAAATTAGATCTGCCTGAAACTAGGGATACTTCCACTTACATGTGGATTGATCAAGTATCCGAAGGCGGTCTAAGGAAACCTCCAGAATTGGTGGCAAAAATTAATGAACTAAATATTATTTTAAATAATTTCAATGGATCTGAACATCAATTAAAATCAGGCAAAAATTATATACAACTAATTGACTTATCCGAGAACATTGAATCTGATTATAAAATCAAACATCTTTTCTTCCGGTCTCGAATGTATTTTAGAATTAGGAAATTAAACCTAAAACTTAAAGAAGATATAAGAAATAAAAGAAAATTAATAAAAATTGTAGCTTAAAATCTTGTGTTTGATTTGTTTTCCGATTTTAGTGCAGATAATTTATGATAAATTATTTCCTTCTGTTTACGTTTAGACAAAGACTTTTTTCCTCCTCGATACTGGCGCCAAATAAGACAATTCAATCAAAAGCTAGCTCGTAAAATTTACAAAGATTACCTTTCTAGGATTAAAAAGCGAAAAACACAAAAAAAAAACTCCCAAATTTATTTTACAGATTTATTTTTTTTCACTGTATTATTTTTTTCAATCAAAATAATAAAACACCTATATTTTAATAAATGCGGAATAGTTCAATACAAACTCTATTAATCCATTAAAATGATTTTTTATTGCCAATTAAAAATTAATTGTGTTCTGATTGCTAACGTTCTTACAGGAAATATTTAAAATCTCTCTCATTGTGACGTCATGCGTGAACTCGTCTCAATTTCTCTCTCGGGAGCATCATACCTGTTATTCTTTGTACCATGGGACTGATACTGCTAAGTGGAAGTGTGCTGTTTTTAAACTAAGATATGTGACAATACCAGAGATATTATCTCTGGACAATACATAATTTACCTGAATAGCAGGCTCCTCACCAAACTTTTCCGACATCAAAAATTTCTTTATAAATATTATGTTTTTATAAAAGTGTATAAACATTTTTAATATTAAAAAAATATACGATCTCTTTCCTTATCACGAATTTTACCCTTAACTGCATGAATTTCTTTGTTGTAGTTTTTTATTCTCTTACAAATTTACTTATTTTTGACAATTTTTTCCATGTGTGATCTTCATATATCTACTGTTTCCTATTCCGTACCTCGGAGGTAAAGGCCACTATGTCCATTTTCTTACTTTTTAAGGAGAGCAGTTTTAACATTTTTTAAATTTTTCATCAGTAAATACTCAAATGTTTCTGATATTTAACCAAAATTAATATACATAGAAGAAAATATACATAGTGTCCTTTACCTCCGAGGTACGGTATTTAAAACTGGTATTTAACAAATTTTTATCATTTATGTTCTCAGAACTACTTTTCGTTGTGTTTGAACTTACATATTCAGTGCTTTGTCGTGTATTGTAGAGGCATTCTCTACGTTTGGATATGATTCCTGTTGTTTTCTCCTTATAATACATTCAATTTTTTTTACATATCCACCTTATTGCTATTTCGCCCAAACAAAAATGTTGAAAATACGCGAATTTCCGAATTGTCGGAAATATACAAAACAAAAATTCCTAAATAAAACTCAATAACATGAACACTATTCTTTTTATTAAATCAATAAATACTTTGTATAAAAAATTATTAATGAGACAATACATTTGGTGAAGTAATCACTTAAATTGATATACTGAATGAATAAATATATGTTACTATACTGAAGAAGAATTTACAAATAGGTAAGTACTACAAATGGTAACTTTAAGAGCAAATAATCATATTTAGATGTTGCAAGTACACTTTAAAATGAAACAATTAAAAACTTGCTAAAAATCATTAAATTGGGGCCTTACCTATTGTATATAAATCATTTTGTTAAATAAAATACAAAGCAAAAAATGATCAACAAAAAAGGTCCAACAATAAAATATAAGATCACAATTTATTTACTAATCACTACATTTTATCACTTAATCTACTGCTTCACCAGCAAATATTTTATCAAGGAGTTCGCAGGCAAGTTGAGACGCAGTTTAATGAGATCAGGCGACAGGGACTTTCACCTCATAAGTTTATCAAAATTTAAAAGTGCTACCAACGCATCTTCATTAAATAACAGAATAAATAACCCTGATTCCTGTCCGTTATGGCATGAAATGTTAATAATTGAACTGTTAAAATAAATAATTTATTTAGATAATAATGATTGAAGTTGTAATAGCTGTAGCACGCGTTCATAGTATGTTACGAACACTATCTGGATATCATTTGTAATAAATATGCACTTTTAGAGTGCGAATTTAATAATAAAAGAATTATATGGGACAAAATACGAAATATTACATTATGTCTCCAAAGACTTCGATTTTCGTTCATAACTTCGCGTTAAAACCGTTGAGCGCCCTCTATGAGATACGAGCGTAATCAATATCTCTTTATAAACAACTTACACAAAGGGACTTGTTAAGTTGTCTTTTTGTGTATGTCACATTTTGTCATTGCTGAACATATTCAGTAAATGATCGAGAACTGCGAGAAATGTTGCTTTAAATTCGAAAAAAGCTGTCCTACAGTGATTAATGCATGCATAAAATACAAATTCAATCGTGGGTTTACTTGATGGGACTCGTGGGGCCCAGTTTTTGGCATAGCTTATACCAAAGCAGCAATGTTAGTGAGAGGAAGCATATGGGGAGTATCACGAAATGTCTGAGCAAGAGATAACGCTACTAGTCTCTCCGTACTGTACAGTGATGCCACCTCTACCAATTTGGCAATGTATCTACAGAAAAGACCTAATTTTCTCCCGATTTTTATTCTTGCGTACATTTTAACTCAAATGTAACTAATTTAGCACATTTTTCCTCTCAAGTTTAAGGGTATATTATAAGAAAAATCACCCTATATTCGTCACATTTCTGTATAGGATACCCCAGTAACTGGAGCCCAAATGGACTTCTACAGAATTGATTTCTACTTAATTTTGATTATCTAACGAACATACAATTTTGTTAGTGGCAACACTGTAATCCAAGCCCTTGTGCATGACGAAATGGCCTCATAAAAACGTTGTGAGTGTCCCAAATTAAAAAAAATTAAGAGATAAAAATACTATATATCCATTAAAAAAAAAGTGAGGTGAGTTTCCTCATTTTACCAACTCTAACCCTTCACCTAACCTTTCTCTCTGCGTCTAAACTTGCGCCCGGACATAGCACACCGGATAAAACTTGTTAATACTCATTACACCTTAAGTACTAAAGTATTTTGATAACAATTTTCGATCGGAACGCCGAAACGTTTTCATATTTCACAAGTATGTGGTATAATTTCAAGAGATTGCAGAATTAAGTACTAACAATAAGTCATCTCGTCCATTTTGAACTACTATTCAATGTTTATGATTAAAAATCACGAAATAAAAATTCAGAATCTAGCGCAGAAGGTCAACGGCGTTTCCATTGTGATAAATGATACTGTAAAATCAAGTTTGTTGGACAAAATAAATTTTTATTGTACTATATACCAGAAATTTATTACTTACGATCCAACTTGGTAAGAATTATAAATTAAAAATAAAGACGCAGCAATATTAACTGCTACCAGTTTAAAAAATTGCTCTAGCTATCATAATTTCGAGTAAACGTGGTTTTATACTGCCTTACATAGGTAACTAATTTGTTAGTAAGTACGGAGAATAAATACTATATATTTTCTCCTTATATATTATTTCAGAGACATATGAATCGCTTATTTATGGAAAGCCTCATGTCTTGTTATTCCTTTATCAGATATATTAGTTTAAAATTATTGTTTATTTATGAAAAGCCACGTGTCAATGATAACGGGCTTTTCATAAATAAAAGCACTATTGGCCACATTGCACGGTCAGCTGATTGTTGACAGATATTTACTGTTTGGAGATTAATTAACCTCTTGTTGTTTTATGTTATAATCAACTGTTAAAAATAAAATATTTCTCTTCAGTTATTGTTAAAGTGATTTAACTTATGTTTTGAAATAATGTCAGAGAGTGAAAGTGTCGTTGAAATAGAAGCAGATAGCAAGAAGCGAAAATGGGGTGTTTGTTAACATGAAGAATATAATGTTAATCGAATTAAAAAAGCTAGATGTCGTGGTGAAGAATATATAAATTACAGAGGAAATGTTGTTGAACCACGCAAAACAGGATTACCATGCTCGTAAGTTACGTTTTATCTTATAATGTACAATTTTAGACAGGAAATAAGATGATAATTAGAAGTCAGTTTTAAAACCTAGCTTAGTTCCACAATAGTAACCTTTTTCAAATGTTGCAAATGCGGATTGAGATGTTTGAGAGATTTGAGAAGTTATGTGAAGAGGACCAAGTTGAAATTTTATGCAGAGAGGTACACTTTTCAAACAAAAATGAGCAAGACCTTTGTTACCAGTCCTTAATAGAAGCAGGGCCCTTACAGAAGAGGAGGTCAAGATTAAAACAAAACACTTCCGAAGATGAAGCTGAAGATGTTTTTTTTAAGCCCAAACATTCTGTTGAGCATAAAAGTTCTTTTAAATTCTATGCCTTGCTTCGTGAGAAAAGGATCAACATCTGCAAAAAGGCTTTTTTAAGTCTGCACTGTATTGGTGAAAAAAGGGTAAGAAGACTGTA